GGTGGAAAATAAGTATTTGGTCACCTACAAACAAGCAAGATTTCTGGCTTTCACAGACCTGTAACTTCTTCTTTAAGAGGCCTTCTTTAAGAGTCAATACAGGTCTAAGATTGAATCATACTACACTGGCTCTGACGCTCGTCGGATGTGGCAGGGCTTGAAAACTATTACAGACTACAAAGGGAAGCACAGCCACGAGCTGCCCAGTGACACAAGCCTACCAGACGAGCTAAACCACTTCTATGCTCGCTTTGAGGCAAGCAACACTGAAGCATGCATGAGAGCACCAGCTGTTCCGGATGACTATGTGATCACGCTCTCCGTGGCCGATGTGAGTAAGACTTTTAAGCAGGTCAACATTCACAAGGCCGCAGGGCCAGATGGATTACCAGGACGTGTACTCCGAGCATGTGCTGACCAACTGGCAAGTGTCTTCACTGACATTTTCAACATGTCCCTGACTGAGTCTGTAATACCAACATGTTTCAAGCAGACCACCATAGTCCCCGTGCCCAAGGACTCTAAGATAACCTGCCTAAATGACTACCGACCCGTAGCACTGACGTCTGTAGCCATGAAGTGCTTTGAAAGACTGGTCATGGCTCACATCAACAGCATTATCCCAGAAACCCTAGACCCACTCCAATTTGCATACCGCCCCAACAGATCCACAGATGATGCAATCTCTATCGCACTCCACACTGCCCTTTCCCACCTGGACAAGAGGAACACCTACGTGAGAATGCTATTCATTGACTACAGCTCAGCATTCAACACCATAGTGCCCTCTAAGCTCATCACTAAGCTAAGGATCCTGGGACTAAACACCTCCCTCTGCAACTGGATCCTGGACTTCCTGACGGGCCGCCCCCAGGTGGTAAGGGTAGGTAACAACACATCTGCCACACTGATCCTCAACACGGGGGCCCCTCAGGGGTGCGTGCTCAGTCCCCTCCTGTACTCTCTGTTCACCCATGACTGCATGGCCAGGCACGACTCCAACACCATCATTAAGTTTGCCGACGACACAACAGTGGTAGGCCTGATCACCGACAACGATGAGACAGCCTATAGGGAGGAGGTCAGAGATCTGGCCGTGTGGTGCCAGGACAACAACCTCTCCCTCAACGTGACCAAGACAAAGGAGATGATTGTGGACTACAGGAAAAAAAATAGGACTGAGCACGCCCCCATTCTCATCGACGGGGCTGTAGTGGAACAGGTTGAGAGCTTCTAGTTCCTTGGTGTCCACATCACCAACAAACTATCATGGTCCAAACACACCAAGACAGTCGTGAAGAGGGCACGACAAAGCCTATTCCCCCTCAGGAGACTAAAAAGATTTGGCATGGGTCCTCAGATCCTCAAAAAATTATACAGCTGCACCATCGAGAGCATCCTGACTGGTTGCATCACCGCCTGGTATGGCAACTGCTTGGCCTCCGACCGCAAGGCACTACAGAGGGTAGTGCGTACGGCCAGGTACATCACTGGGGCAAAGCTTCCTGCCATCCAGGACCTCTATACCAGGCGGTGTCAGAGGAAGGCCCTCAAAATTGTCAAAGACTCCAGCCACCCTAGTCATAGACTGTTCTCTCTGCTACCGCACGGCAAGCGGTACCGGAGTGCCAAGTCTAGGTCCAAAAGACTTCTCAACAGCTTCTACCCCCAAGCCATAAGACTCCTGAACAGCTAATCATGGCTACCCGGACTATTTGCACTGCCCCCCCACCCCATCCTTTTTACGCTGCTGCTACTCTGTTAAGTATTTATACATAGTCACTTTAACTCTACCCACATGTACATATTACCTCAACTACCTCAACTAGCCGGTGCCCCCGCACATTGACTCTGCAACGGTACCCCCCTGTATATATAGCCTCCCTACTGTCACTTTATTTTACTTCTGCTCTTTTTTTTCTTTTTGTTGTTGTTTTATTCTTACTTTTTTTGTTTAAAATAAATGCACTGTTGGTTAAGGGCTGTAAGTAAGCATTTCACTGTAATGTCTGCACCTGTTGTATTTGGCGCATGTGACCAATAAAATTTGATTTGATTTGATTTGATTTGTCCTCCACTCGTTACCTGTATTAATGGCACCTGTTTGAACTTGTTATCAGTATAAAAGACACCTGTCCACAACCTCAAACAGTCACACTCCAAACTCCACTATGGCCAAGACCAAAGAGCTGTCAAAGGACACCAGAAACAAAATTGTAGACCTGCACCAGGCTGGGAAGACTGCATCTGCAATAGGTAAGCAGCTTGGTTTGAAGAAATCAACTGTGGGAGCAATTATTAGGAAATGGAAGACATACAAGACCACTGATAATCTCCCTCGATCTAGGGCTACACGCAAGATCTCACCCCGTGGGGTCAAAATGATCACAAGAATGGTGAGCAAAAATCCCAGAACCACACGGGGGGACCTAGTGAATGACCTGCAGAGAGCTGGGACCAAAGTAACAAAGCCTACCATCAGTAACACACTACGCCGCCAGGGACTCAAATCCTGCAGTGCCAGACGTGTCCCCCTGCTTAAGCCAGTACATGTCCAGGCCCGTCTGAAGTTTGCTAGAGTGCATTTGGATGATCCAGAAGAGGATTGGGAGAATGTCATATGGTCAGATGAAACCAAAATATAACTTTTTGGTAAAAACTCAACTCGTCGTGTTTGGAGGACAAAGAATGCTGAGTTGCATCCAAAGAACCCCATACCTACTGTGAAGCATGGGGGTGGAAACATCATGCTTTGGGGCTGTTTTTCTGCAAAGGGACCAGGACGACTGATCCGTGTAAAGGAAAGAATGAATGGGGCCATGTATCGTGAGATTTTGAGTGAAAACCTCCTTCCATCAGCAAGGGCATTGAAGATGAAACGTGGCTGGGTCTTTCAGCATGACAATAATCCCAAACACACCGCCCGGGTAACAAAGGAGTGGCTTCGTAAGAAGCATTTCAAGGTCCTGGAGTGGCCTAGCCAGTCTCCAGATCTCAACCCCATAGAAAATCTTTGGAGGGAGTTGAAAGTCCGTGTTGCCCAGCGACAGCCCCAAAACATCACTGCTCTAGAGGAGATCTGCATGGAGGAATGGGCCAAAATACCAGCAACAGTGTGTGAAAACCTTGTGAAGACTTACAGAAAACGTTTGACCTGTGTCATTGCCAACAAAGGGTATATAACAAAGTATTGAGAAACTTTTGTTATTGACCAAATACTTATTTTCCACCATAATTTGCAAATAAATTCATTAAAAATCCTACAATGTGATTTTCAGGATTTTTTTCTCCTAATTTTGTCTGTCATAGTTGACGTGTACCTATGATGAAAATTACAGGCCTCTCTCATCTTTTTAAGTGGGAGAACTTGCACAATTGGTGGCTGACTAAATACTTTTTTCCCCACTGTATATGAAGGGGAGGAGACAGGTTAAATAAGGATTTTTAAGCCTTGAGAGAATTGAGACATGGATTGTTTGTGTGCCATTCAGAGGGTGAATGGGCAAAACAACTCAATATTAGGAAAGTGTTCCTAATGTTTGGTATACTCAGTGTATATATACACTCAATCTTTTTCAGGATATGCGAGACAATCTGTTGTGACCACAATGAGAAACTAAGAACCAGCAAGAAACTTTTGGACGTAAGATTAATTTTGTAATGTAGAAATGAATAAAACAATCTATTAAACATTACCTTGTGCGCTATAGTTCCCTAATACTAATGAATTAAGTCAATTTACCAAGTCCTGTATCAAATCAATCAAGTCTGCAAATAATTATATTTAGGCATTGTATTGTTACTGGATGAGTTGAGGTTGAAACTCCCTTTGTTGTTATTCTTCTGAGGTTGATACCTTCTACAAAGAGCCTGAAGTTAAATTACATTTGAATTAACAACATACTCTCTGCACACCATTCAGTTAGCATAGCATGAACATGCTTAGGCCTTCAGTTGCCACCCAACTTTTCTAGATTGTAATTTATTTATCTTTCTGTCTTGATGTGATACATGTGACACAGCTGAACATTTTTTTGTGTTCATGAGAGAGAGACTGACACTGGTTTGGTCACATCAGTAACGGCTCTAATACACCAACTCTATCAGAGAAACAAAGATACACAACTGGGGAAATTGAGCTGTGTTCAAAGCCCTCCCTCATGACTATAGGAGATGAACAATGAAATATGTAAGCAGAATAAAAATGTATCTGAAGGGAGTAATCTGGTGTATTCCATGTTTTTAGTGTGTTGACAGATTTCCCATCACAAACACCCTGCCCAAGACTGATATATGGTAACATATTATAGCCAGAGTCTAATATTTTAATGAAGTTCAACCAATGAAATATACCTCTTGATATTTTTGAATTCAGAAATACATTTCTGCGATTACTGTCTAACCTTATCATAACCATTGTCTATGTTTTTGTTGCCATTGTAAACAAATGTCATGTTTAGCTTGAAATTGATATACTGTTATTCATATAATCTCATTCCTATCGTAAGAAAAAAGTGCTATTTCTGTTCTATGTGAACAAGGCATGACAGATACAGTGGGCACACAATAATAATAATTGAAATGTAATTTAAGGGATGTGAATGTCTTTTCAGGTAATGGATTGCATTTCATTTAATTCCTTCATTAATCCGGTACAGAAAACAAAACCAGCATTTTCTTCATTCATTCAAAGTGTGGGTAATACTGATTTACAAAACAATATAAATACATCATTCAGTTACAATAAATATTAATGCAGTAAGTAAAGGATAACTACCAAGATTCACAGACTCTTGTTGATAATTGGTAGTACAGCTGTTGTTGTTTTTGTTACATTATCCTCAAGCTGTTCAATGTTCTTATGTTCTCCATAGCAATTAATCTTTACCCTTTACATTTTTGGATAATAAATAATAATGAATACTATACAATTATAATAATAAATATGATTAGATTGTCTGGTAAGTTTCCCTGTCACAGTGGTGATCAGTCTATCAGTATTAGTCAAGCAGTTGTGATAACATAACAAGACAGATGAGTAGACTTGTCTTGTAGCTTATTCCACTGGAGGCGGCAGCATTGGATGTTGTTGAAGCAACAACAGATGATGTTGTAGCAGCTGTGTTTGTTGTAGGACCAGATGTTGTTGTTTTTGTTGTTGTTGCTGTTGTTGTTGTTGTTGGGGCGGCTGTGGTAGTTGTGGCAGTTGTAGTTGTTGTCCCTGTAAGACCACAGAAGTTAACTCATAAAAATTATACCAATACTAGAGTGCCATGTGTCAATGTTGAAAGTGATGACAATGACAACAAGGTCATCAATGATGGCATTACTTACTTGCAGTAATGGAGGTTGTATCAATGTTGAGGAAGGTGTTCCCATGAGACAGAGAGTCAGTCAATCCCTGCACTACACTCGTTGCATTGGGAACCACTGTCTGGTTCTTAAAAACAAGGGTCATGTTGACAATAATTGAGCCACTCCTGTAAACAAAGAAATATATAAATATTTAGTTTTTCTTTTCAGGTCAGATGCTTAAACAGTTTTTTCCAAAAAAGTATTATGAAAACAAATAAATGTGTAGAGTAAATATTTTCAAGTGTTCTTTATGTATAATTCAAACTTGTTATATAACTGTATCACTGTTATTTCTAGATCATTCTATTTGAATGGAGACATTCTCAGACTTACAGAAAACAATGAATTGTACTTACGCGAATTTATTAATCCTACACCTTAGGTACGTTAAAGGGTAAATTATTTTGTAACCACGATTAACCTGTGAAAAAAATATATATTATTATCAATAATTTCAATCAATAATTTCAGCAGTGAAGTCAGAATGTTATTCAAAGACACGCTGATTACCTCTGTGGTAACATTTGCTGCCAGTTCCTGATATGCTGTTGTAGAAGAGTCAGAATAGTCACTTTGGAATGCACGGATCATTCTGAATCCTAATCCCAGTGACCCCTCATCCGCTGTTGGTGCAGCTGTTGAATCTATTGTTGTAGTTGCAGCGGCTGTGTTGGTTGTGGGAGCAATTTTAGTTGTCGTTTGTGCGACTGTGGTTGTTGTAGGAGCAGCTGTGGTGGTTGTGAGAGCAGCTGTGGTTGAAGTTGGTTTCGCTGTGGTTGTCATCGCAGAAGCTGTGGTTGTAGTCGAAGCAGCTGTGGCCATTGTGGTGGTAGCAGCTGTGGTAGTTGTGGGAGAAAGTGTGGTAGTAGTGATGCCAGCTGTGGTAGCCGTGGCAGCAGCCATGGTTTTGGTGGCAGCAGCTGTGGTTGTTATGGGGGCATTTGTGGTTGAAGTTGGAGCAGCTGTGTTTGTGGTTAAGTATGCTGTGGTTGTAGTTGGAGAAGCTGTGGTTGTTGTGGCAGCAGCTATAGTTGTTGCAGCAGCTGTGGTTGTAGAGGAAGCCGTGGTTGTCGTGGTAGCAGCTGTGGTTGTAGTTGGAGAAGCTGTGGTTGTAGTTGGAGAAGCTGTGGTTGTTGTGGTAGCAGCTGTGGTTGTAGAGGAAGCAACTGTGGTTGTAAAAGCTGTTGTTGTTGTGACAGTAGGTGTGGTTGTAGTTGGAGCAGCTGTGGTTGTGGTAGCATCTGCAGTGGTTGTAGTAGGAACAGCTGTGGTTGTCGTGGTAGAAGCTGTGGTGCTCGTCATGGAAACAGTTGTGGTTGTAGTTGGAGCAGCTGTGGTTGTTGTGGGAGAAACTGTGGTAGTCATGATGCCAGCTGTGTTGTTCATGGCGGAAGCTGTGGTTGTGGTGGCAGCAGCTGTGGTTGTCATAGGAACAGCTGTGGTTATAGTTGGAGAAGCTGTGGTTGTTCTAATAGAAGCTGGGGTTGTGGCAGCAGCTGTGTTTGTAGTATCAGCAGCTGTCGTTGTCATTGGATAAGCTGTCGTTGTGGTTGTAGCAGAAGCAGCTGTGATTGTCGTAGCAGCAGCTGTGGATGTAGTGGAAGCAGCTGTGGTTGTTGTGGCAGCAGCTGTGGATGTCGTGGCTGCTGCAGTTGTTGTAGTTGGAGCAGCTATGGTTGTCGTGGCTGCAGCTGTAGTTGTGGTTGGTACAGCTGTGGTTGTAGTCAAAGCAGCTGTGGTCGTTGTGGCAGCAACTGTGGTAGTTGTTATGCCAGCTGTGGTGGTTGTGGTGGCAGCTGTGGTTGTAGAGGAAGCAGCTGTGGTTGTTGTTGGTGAAGCTGTGGTTGTGGTTTGATTACCTGTGGTTGTTGTGGCAGCTGCTGTGGTAGCTGCTGTGGTAGGTGCTGTGGTTGTGGTGGCTGCTCCGATGGTTGTAGTTTGAACAGCTGTGGTTGTCATGGCAGCAGCTGTGGTTGTGGGTGTGTCTGCTGTGGTTGTAGTTGGAGCAGCTGTGGTTGTTTTGGCAGCAGCTGTGGTTGTTGTGGCAGCTGCTGTCGTTGTGGTGGCTGCTCTGGTGGTTGTAGTTTGAACAGCTGTGGTTGTCATGGCAGCAGCTGTTGTCATGGTTGCATCTGCTGTGGTTTTAGTTGGAGCAGCTGTGGTTGTTGCGGCAGCATCTGTGGTTGTTGTGGCAGCATCTGTGGTTGTTGTGGCAGCAGCTTTGGTTGTAGTCTGAGCAGCTGTGGATGTCATGGCACCAGCTGTTGTTGTCATGGCTGCTGCAGTAGTTGTAGTTGTAGCAGCTGTAGTTGTAGTTGGTACAGCTGTGGTTGTAGTCAAAGCAGCTGTGGTCGTTGTGGCAGTAACTGTGGTAGTTGTTATGCCAGGTCTGGTGGTTGTGGCGTCAGCTGTGGTTGTTGCGACAGCTGTGGTTGTGGTTGCAGCAGCTGTGGTTGTTGTGGGGACATTTGTGGTTGTAGATGGAGCTGCTGTGGTTGTCGTGGTAACAACAGTGATTGTAGTTGGAGCAGCTGTGGTTGTAATTGGAGCAGCTGTGGTTGTAGTTGGAGCAGCTGTGGTAGTAGTGGCAGCAGGTATGGTTGTTGTGGCAGCAGGTATGGTTGTTGTGGCAGCAGTTGTGGTTGTAGAGGGAGCAACTGTGGTTGTAGTTGGTGAAGCTGTGGTTGTCGTGGCAGAATATATGGATATTATAGTTGTTGTGGCACCAGCTGTGGTTGTCGTGGGGACAACTGTGGTTGTAGTTGGAGCAGCTGTGGTTGTAGTTGGAGCAGCTGTGGTAGTAGTGGCAGCAGGTATGGTTGTTGTGGCAGCAGTTGTGGTTGTCGTGGGGACAACTGTAGTTGTAGTTGGAGCAGCTGTGTTTGTAGTTAGAGCAGCTGAGGTCGTTGTGGCAGCAGCTGTGGTTGTAGTTGGAGCATCTGTGGTTGTTGTGACAGCATTTGTGGTTGTGGTGGCTGCTGCAGAAGTTGCAGTTGTCATTGTCATGGCAGGAGCTTTGGTGGTTGTCATGGACGTTATTGTGGTTGTCGTTGGAGCAGCTGTGGTTGTAGTTGGAGTTGTTGTTGTCGCAGTAGCTGTTTTTGTAGTTAGAGCAGCTGTGGTCGTTGTGGTGGCAGCTGTGGTTGTTGTGGCAATATTTGTGGTTGTAGTTGGAGCAACTGTAGTTGTGGGGGCAGCTGCTGTGGTTGAAGTGGCAGCAGCTGTGGTTGTAGTTGGAACACCTTTGGTTGTTGTAGCAGAAACTGTGGTTGTGGTGGCTGCTGCAGCAGTTGCAGCTGTCGTTGTCATGGCAGGAGCTGTGGTGGTCATCATGGACGTAGTTGTGGTTGTAGTTGGAGCAGCTGTGGTTGTTGAGGGAGCAACTGTGGTTGTCGTGGGGACAACTGTGGTTGTAGTTGGAACAGCTGTGGTTGTAGTTGGAACAGCTGTGGTTGTAGTTGGAGCAGCTATGGTAGTACTGGCAGCAGGTATGGTTGTTGTGGCAGCAGTTGTGGTTAAAGAGGGAGCAGTTGTGGTTGTGGGAGCAGCTGCTGTGGTTGTTGTGGCACCAGCTGTGGTTGTCGTGGGGACAACTGTGGTTGTAGTTGGAGCAGCTGTGGTTGTAGTTGGTGAAGCTGTGGTTGTCGTGGCAGAAGATATGGATATTATAGAAGCAGCTGTGGTTGTAGTTGGAGCATCTGTCGTTTTTGTGGCAGAAGCTGTTGTTGTTGTGGCAATATTTATGGTTGTAGTTGAAGCAGGTGTGGTTGTGGGGGCAGCTGCTGTGGTTGTGGTGGCAGCAGCTGTGGTTGTCATGGGAACAGCTGTGGTTGTAATTTGAGAAGCTGTCATTGTTGTAGCAGCAGCTGTGGAAGTCGTAGTAGCAGCTGTGGTTGTACTTTGAGAAGTTGTTGTTGTTTTAGTAGCTGTGTTTGTAGATGAAGCAGCTGTGGTTGTTGGGGTGGCAGCTATAGTTGTTGTGGCAATATTTGTGGTTGTAGTTGGAGCAACTCTAGTTGTCGGGGCAGCTGCTGTGGTTGAAGTGGCAGCAGCTGTGGTTGTAGATGGAGCACCTGTGGTTGTAGTTGGAGCAGCTGTGGTTGTGGGGGCAGCTGATGTGGTTGTTGTGGCACCAGCTGTGGTTGTCGTGGGGACAACTGTGGTTGTAGTTGGAGCAGCTGTGGTTGTAGTTGGAGCATCTGTGGTAGTAGTGGCATCAGGTATGGTTGTTGTGGCAGCAGTTGTGGTTGTCGTGGGGACAACTGTAGTTGTAGTTGGAGCAGCTGTGTTTGTAGTTAGAGCAGCTGTGGTCGTTGTGGCAGCAGCTGTGGTTGTAGTTGGAGCATCTGTGGTTGTTGTGACAGCAATTGTGGTTGTGGTGGCTGCTGCAGAAGTTGCAGTTGTCATTGTCATGGCAGGAGCTTTGGTGGTTGTCATGGACGTTATTGTGGTTGTCGTTGGAGCAGCTGTGGTTGTAGTTGGAGTTGTTGTTGACACAGTAGCTGTTTTTGTAGATAGAGCAGCTGTGGTCGTTGTGGTGGCAGCTGTGGTTGTTGTGGCAATATTTGTGGTTGTAGTTGGAGCAACTGTAGTTGTGGGGGCAGCTGCTGTGGTTGAAGTGGCAGCAGCTGTGGTTGTAGTTGGAACACCTTTGGTTGTTGTGGCAGAAACTGTGGTTGTGGTGGCTGCTGCAGCAGTTGCAGCTGTCGTTGTCATGGCAGGAGCTGTGGTGGTCGTCATGGACATAGTTGTGGTTGTAGTTGGAGCAGCTGTGGTTGTTGAGGGAGCAACTGTGGTAGTTGTGATGCCAGCTGTAGTGACCGTGGCGGCAGGTGTGGTAGTGGTGGCAGCAGCTGTAGTTGTAGAGGAAGCAGCTGTGGTTGTAGTTGGAGCAGCTGTGGTTGTGGGGGCAGCTGATGTGGTTGTTGTGGCACCAGCTGTGGTTGTCGTGGGGACAACTGTGGTTGTAGTTGGAGCAGCTGTGGTTGTAGTTGGAGCAGATGTGGTAGTAGTGGCAGCAGGTATGGTTGTTGTGGCAGCAGTTGTGGTTGTAGAGGGAGCAGCTGTGGTTATGGGGGCAGCTGCTGTGGTTGTTGTGGCACCAGCTGTGGTTGTCGTGGGGACAACTGTAGTTGTAGTTGGAGCAGCTGTGTTTGTAGTTAGAGCAGCTGTGGTCGTTGTGGTGGCAGCTGTGGTTGTTGTGGCGATATTTGTGGTTGTAGTTGGAGAAACTGTAGTTGTGGGGGCAGCTGCTGTGATTGAAGTGGCAGCAGCTGTGGTTGTAGATGGAGCACCTGTGGTTGTTTTTGCAGCAACTGTGGTTGTGGTGGCTGCTGCAGCAGTTGCAGCTGTCGTTGTCATGGCAGGAGCTGTGGTGGTCGTCATGGACGTAGTTGTGGTTGTAGTTTGAGCAACTGTGGTAGTTGTGATGCCAGCTGTAGTGACCGTGGCGGCAGCTGTGGTTGTGGTGGCAGCAGCTGTGGTTGTTGTGGGAGAAACTGTGGTTGTTGTGACTCCATTTTTGGTTGTAGTTGGAGCATCTGTGGTTGTGGTGGCATCAGCTGTTGTTGTTGTGGGAGAGGTTGTTGTTGTGGTAGTAGCTGTGTTTGTAGATGGAGCAGCTGTGGTTTTTGTGGTGGCAGCTATTGTTGTTGTGGCGATATTTGTGGTTGTAGTTGGAGCAACTGTAGTTGTGGGGGCAGCTGCTGTGGTTGAAGTGGCAGCAGTTGTGATTGTAGTTGGAGCACCTGTGGTTGTTGTGGCAGCAACTGTGGTTGTGGTGGCTGCTGCAGCAGTTGCAGCTGTCGTTGTCATGGCAGGAGCTGTGTTGGTCGTCATGGACGTAGTTGTGGTTGTAGTTGGAGCAGCTGTTGTTGTTGTGGGAGAAACTGCGGTTGTTGTGACTCCATTTTTGGTTGTAGTTGGAGCATCTGTGGTTGTGGTGGCAGCAGCTGTTGTTGTTGGAGAAGTTGTTGTTGTGGTAGTAGCTGTGTTTGTAGATGGAGCAGCTGTGGTTGTTGTGGTGGCAGCTATTGTTTTTGTGGCGATATTTGTGGTTGTAGTTGGAGCAACTGTAGTTGTGGGGGCAGCTGCTGTGGTTGAAGTGGCAGCAGCTGTGGTTGTAGTTGGAGCACCTGTGGTTGTTGTGGCAGAAACTGTGGTTGTGGTGGCTGCTGCAGCAGCTGCAGCTGTCATTGTCATGGCAGGAGCTGTGGTGGTCGTCATGGACGTATTTGTGGTTGTAGTTGGAGAAGCTGTGGTTGTTGAGGGAGCAACTGTGGTAGTTGTGATGCCAGCTGTAGTGACTGTGGCGGCAGGTGTGTTAGTGGTGGCAGCAGCTGTAGTTGTAGAGGAAGCAGCTGTGGTTGTAGTTGGAGCAGCTGTGGTTGTGGGGGCAGCTGATGTGGTTGTTGTGGCACCAGCTGTGGTTGTCGTGGGGACAACTGTGGTTGTAGTTGGAGCAGCTGTGGTTGTAGTGGCAGCAGTTATGGTTGTTGTGGCAGCAGTTGTGGTTGTAGAGGGAGCAGCTGTGGTTGTGGGGGCAGCTGCTGTGGTTGTTGTGGCACCAGCTGTGGTTGTCGTGGGGACAACTGTAGTTGTAGTTGGAGCAGCTGTGTTTGTAGTTAGAGCAGCTGTGGTCGTTGTGGTGGCCGCTGTGGTTGTTGTGGCGATATTTGTGGTTGTAGTTGGAGCAACTGTAGTTGTGGGGGCAGCTGCTGTGGTTGAAGTGGCAGCAGCTGTGGTTGTAGTTGGAGCACCTGTGGTTGTTGTGGCAGCAACTGTGGTTGTGGTGGCTGCTGCAGCAGCTGCAGCTGTCATTGTCATGGCAGGAGCTGTGGTGGTCGTCATGGACGTAGTTGTGGTTGTAGTTGGAGCAGCTGTGGTTGTTGAGGGAGCAACTGTGGTAGTTGTGATGCCAGCTGTAGTGACCGTGGTGGCTTCTGTGGTTGTGGTGGCAGCAGCTGTGGTTGTTGTGGGAGAAACTGTGGTTGTTGTGACTCCATTTGTGGTTGCAGTTGGAGCATCTGTGGTTGTGGTTGCAGCAGCTGTGGTTGTTGTGGGGGCATTAGTTGTTGGGCTTTGGGCATTCCCTGATGCTGTTGCAAATTAAAAAGCATAGATTTTAGAATAGCTTTTAGAATTTCGTAATGATCTACAATTTAAAGACCAGAGAATGAATTTACCAGTAATCAGGAGAAGGACTGTGAGAATTCTTTTGTTCATCTTTGAAAATGTTTTCTTTTTAGTCTGTAGACACAGAGAGATGGGCACACATGATTAATGTATAGGTAAAAGACAAATCATTACAAACAGAATGACATTGACAAATGTAATATAAACTGCAATATTGTGGAAGGGGATCACTTAATAGTAAATTCACATGAGTATTTTTGTCTGATATTGTACTGTTGTACAGTAAGTATGTGCTAGGAATTTGATTGTTTTAATCAAGTCATCCACAACTTCTTTGTCTTGCTATTTAATATTTAATTAATTTATTAATAATTTTATGTATTATTTTAACCATTATTTATTCATCCAGTAAGTCCGGTTAAGGTCAGAAGGCATCTTTTATGATGGAGAGTGGTAAGCGGTCAGCTCAATAAAAAACGCATAGATACAGTACAGTGCATGTGTTAGTGTATAATCTGTAAATGTATAGATTTACCACTAAATCACTAAATGAGAGGACAATCTTTCGATTTACTGTTTTTACACCTTTACCATAACACATACACAGCAGACCAAAAACATGAATATGAATGACTACAATTACCCACCATCAATCATAAAACATGTAGTCATTAAGAATTGAAACATTTGCACACCGCCTGCATAAAGTCTGCAACTATAGCCTAGAATTCCTCTCTCAGGACAAAGCACTCTAGGTTTAACGAGATTATTCCAGGACCAAGGGTCCAGAAAGATAAAATCAGGTTGAACAAATTCTGATCTGGCCCTTGGTACCTGGAATAAGAATTTCACTAGAGATTATTTGAGATTATAAAATCCATGGTTGAACGAGGTCAAGGAAAAGCAGTACAGAGGAAGTTGACCAGTTATAGCCTTGTCAACGAACTCTGATCATAATAAAACATATGATATGTAACACAATAATAGGAAACCACACTTACCCAAAAAATTATATTGTGATGTTGTAGCTGAAATCCTCAGAAAGCTCAGTATTCAGTAATGGTACACCTCCAAACTCTACTAAGCTCCTGCATTGCTACAGCCTTTATAGTTTAAAGAACAACCTCGATGACATCATTATGATGGTTGAGATGTAAAAGAAAAGGTGTGTTTACGTCACCTTGTAGAAAAGGGTGTGCTGAGGTGTGTCCTGTAGTAATTTTTTGAATTCCTGTACTCTCATATTATGACTGAATTCCTAATCTAGCAGTACAAGGAGACACATATACCACGGGTGTAATCATTACTACAAACAGTTGCAAAATGTTCTGTTTTACAACTAAAATTATTGTTTCTATTGGACAGATTCAGTTAGGTCCCTCCCTGTTTGCTGAACCTGCCCAATATAAACACTATTGTAATGATTACACCCCTGGACCCGTTTAATGTATCAATTGCAATTGATTGTAATACATAATGTAAATTAATCTATTACATAATCATTGTGATAAATTAATTTTGTTTTCATCAAGCTGATTTTCCCAAGGAAAAGCCAAACCACAAACATACAAGGTTATTTTTCCAATGACACACATCCTTATGTTTGCGCTACGTGTTCACACGACCATTGATGACACACAGAATATGAATGTCTACGAACCACGTCTTTGAGGAAGTAAATAAAGGCTATTATTATGCCAATGATAATGATCTAAGAATAGCTGTCTTCAGAAAGTATTCACACTTCTTGACTTTTTCCACATTTTGTTGTGTTACAGCCAGAATATTTTTTAAATTAAATTTAGATTTTGTGTCACTGGCCTACACACAATACCCCATAATATCAAAGTGGAATTATGTTTTTAGAATAAAAACATAATAATAATAAAAAAAGCTGTAATGTCTTGAGTCAATAAGGATTCAACCCAGTTGATATGGCAAGCCTAAATAAATTCAGGAGTAAAAATGTACTTAACAAGTCACATAATAAGTTGCACGGACTCGCTCTGTGTGCAATAATAGTGTTTAACATGAAAGACTACCTCATCTCTGTACCCCACACATACAATTATCTGAAAGATCCCTCAGTCGAGCAGTGAATTTCAAACAGATACTGAACAAAAATATAAACGCAACATGTAAAGTGTTGGTCCCATGTGAGGTAAAACAAAAGATCCCAAAATCCCAGAAATGTTCCATTCATCAGAAAGCGTATTTCTCTCAAATTGTGTGCACAAATTTGTTTACATTCCTGTTAGTGAGCATTAATTATTTGCCAAGATAATCCATCCACCTGACAGGTGTGGCATTTCAAGAAGCAGATTAAACAGCATGATCATTACACAGGTTCACCTTTTGGTGGGGACAATAAAAGGCCACTCTAAAATGTGCAGTTTTGTCACAAAACACAATGCCACAGATGTCCTAAGTTTTGAGGGAGCTTGCAATTGGCATGCTGACTGCAGGAATGTCCACCAGAGCTGTTGCCAGATAAATTAATGTTAATTGCTCTACCATAATACGCCTCCAACTTCGTTTTAGAGAAATTGGCAGTACGTCCAACCGGCCTCACACCCGCAGACCATGTGTAACCACGCCAGCACAGGACCTCCACATCCAGCTTCTTCATTTGCGGGATCATCTCAGACCAGCCACCCGGACAGCTGATGAAACTGTGGGTTTGCACAACCAAAGAATTTCTGCAAAAACGGTCAGAAACCATCTCAGGGAAGCTCATCTGCATGCTTGTCGTCCTCACTAGGTTCTTGACCTGACCGTGGTTCGGCGCCGTAACCGACCTCAGTGGGCAAATGTTCCCCTTCGATGGCCACTGACACGCTGGAGAAGTGTGTTCTTCATGGATGAATCCCAGTTTCAACTGTACCGGGCAGATGGCAGACAGCGTGCATGGCGTGGTGTGGGCGAGCGGTTTGCTGATGTCAACGTTGTGAACAGAGTACCACATGGTGGCGGTGGGGTTATGGTATTGGCAGGAATAAGCTACGGACAATGAACACAATTGTATTTTATCGATGGCAATTTGAATGCACAGAGATACTGTGACGAGATCCTGAGGCCCATTGTCGTCCCATTCAACCGCCGCCATCACCTCATGTTTCAGCATGATAATGCAGGGCAGCATGTCGCAAGGATCTGTACACAATTCCTGGAAGCTGAAAATTCCCAGTTCTTCCGTAGCTTGCATACTCACCAGACATGTCACCCATTGAGTATGTTTGGGATGCTCTGGATCGACGTGTATAACAGCATGTTCCAGTTTCCGCCAATATCCATTAACTTTGCACAGCCATTGAAGAGGAGTGGGACAACATTCCACAGGCCACAATCAACAGCCTGACCAACTCTATGCGAAGGAGATGTGTTGCACTGCATGAGGCAAATGGTGGCCATACACAGATACTGACTGGTTTTCTGATCCACGCCCCTACCTTTTCATTAAGGTATCTGTGACCAACAGATGCATATCAATGGAATTAATTTCAATGGACTGATGTCCTTATATGAACTGTAACTTCGAAATGGTTGCATGTTGCATTTATATTTTTGTTCCGTTCAAATTATAAATCCAATACAGAAAAAAAAATAGATACTACTTAATTAATTTTTCCTCATTTATTTGAAGTACTCAAATAATTTTTGTGTAATACTGAATTAAAGTGCCAAATACCAGTTAATTAGTTATTGCTGTTATTGCTGTGACTATGAGGATGATTACTTAAGGGTTAAGGGGACAGCATAGCAGCATTTGTTTTAGAAAATCCTCCAGCTATTTCATGTTCTCTATAGGAATCTTTACTGTCGCCTCCTGAGTGGCGCTGCGTTCTAAGGCACTGCATCGCAGTGCTAGAGTCGTCACTACAGATCCGGGTTTGATCCCGTAGCTGGCCGCAACCGGGAGACCCATTAGGTGGCACACAATTGGCCCAGCATCGTCCAGGTTAGGGGAGGGTTTGGCTGGCTGGGATGTCCTTGTCCCATAGCGCTCTAGTGACTCCTTGTGGCAGCCGGGCGCATGCACGCTGACTTCGGTCGCCAGCTGTACCGTGTTTCCTCTGACACATTGGTGCGGCTGGCTTCCGGGTTAAGTGAGCAGTGTGTCAAGAAGCAGTGCGGCTTGGCAGGGTTTGTGTTTCAGAGGAACCGTTGCTTATTATTCTATAATCAAAGAGTAAGGGTGAAATCATTATATAGGACAACATCATTCATAAGGTAAAAGACAAATAATGACAAACAGAATGACCATGACAAATTAAATATAGGACATCACTATATTAACTTCCCATTACTAGTTTTTTTCTGGTATTGCACAAAGTTAGGGATCTCCGATTTTCACTTTTCAAACAAAGTCATCCACAACTGCTTTGTCTTGGTATGAATATATTGTTAATCTATTGTTTTATTAAACACATCTTGAAAAGATGATTTGTTACAAAATAAATGAAAAACACACTTACCCCCCAAAAAATGGGTTATGGATGTAGGATTTTCAGTTCACTCCTTAAAAGTGCTGGCAGTTCAGCAATGCTCTTCAATTGTGATGCTGTAGAATAAATCATTTTAGCAGCTGAGTATATTCTCCAAACGGTGTACCTCCAAACCTATCCTAAATTCCTGAATTGTTACAGCTTATATAGTTTAAAGAACACCCTTGATGACATCATTAATGACAAAGGCATGCTCAGGTGTGTCCTATACTCCCCATCTGCTGAAAATAGAATAACGTCTCCCTCCAATTAATGCTGAAATCCAATCCAGCAGGACATGGACATACACTACACATTCCTTGATGCACTTTATGTATCATTATAATTGATTGTAATACATAATGTAATGTTATACATGACTGTGATCAATATTTGTCAGATATCCCAAGGAAATTGAACTGGCTTAAAAAGGCTTATGGAAGTAATTTTAAGAGTTTATTCCCCAAGAGTGCCAAGTATGCTCTCCCATGGGATGCTACAGAGGTACGTTTATATCCAAATACTGTCCCAGCAGTGCATCTTAAAACTTCTGAATCGCTATTATAAACAGTAACAGTACACAGTAACAATGACATAAGGATGAGG